ATCAGTCCGGGGTCAGTCCAAGTCATCCGGTGTGGACGCTAATTGCGGTTCATGTTGGTCCACGTTTGTCGGCTGCCGTCTCTTCCACCTTTCTTTAAGGTGTTTGTACACTCTAGTTAACTCGATCCGCCGGTTGATGCATGAATCATCGGAGTGCATTGCCTCAAGGAATTCTCGGCCTCTTGTGGAGGGGCCAACTCCGACGATGCGTGTTTTGTCCCATGCAAAGTTATGTCCTGTGTCAAGGCACACAAGCGCATAATTCGGAATTGGCCTACGTTTCCCCACATGTGTCTCGCAGGCCAGGTTATCAGGCTGCTCCTTAATCCGTTCTTTGAGTACTCGGTGCATTGTGGAATGAAGTAAACATGGCTCCAGCAGCTGACATCTTTCTCCTTTCTCCCTCAACAACCACGTGTCTCAGTGTTAGACTTTCATTTTTTGACTAATGGCAGAAGTACATAAGGCTGCATTTAAAACAATTTTCTGGATCATCCAACAGCGTTTATGAATGAGGTGCCGTGCTTTTGGACGGAACGCTGACAATACTCACTCATATTTTCTGATTTGTGACATTAAAAATTTGAGTGAATTCTGTTATCGGTTTATGTGCGTGCAATCAACGCAACTATCTCATAGATGTGTCCTATTAAGAACATGGACTGTTTGTTTGAATTTCTCTTTGGATAGCAGTTCAGAAATGGCGAATTTAACTTTTGTAGTCTCACCCTCAGCAAGTTCGTCTGATGCGTGCACACAGTCGCAATCGCGGATTTTTCCGGTCGCAAAGGGCATGGGAGTTATGATTAATAAAAAATCCACAACCACATACTCAGCATCATCTTAGCTTCGTTCTTGACATGGCCGAATTTATCTGTGAGTTTGTCCTGAGTGCAATTGGTCTACTGCTTAAAAATGGACAGTGGACCCTTAGAATATCACCCAGAGCACTTGTGCTCATCTCTGTGTTTGATCTTCACCGATATGAGCCAATTACAGGACTGAATTCATGGCATACGGGTCAATCTCTAATGGATCATTTTAGCTACGTTCCTTCCATTGGCTGGTCATTGCCTCAAACTAGGCCGGTTTGATCAGGTATTTTCTACTGAGTGCAATTGGTCTGCCTTTGAAAAACGGACACTGACCTCCTCGAATATGACCAGGAGCATTTGTGCTCGTTTGTGAGTCTGATCTACTCAAGCGGCAAATAGCCAAATGCGCACAGTCAACCTCAGGTCAAAGCACGGCTAGTTTGCATGTATACGCTTTCGCAAAAATCAATAATGATTACTCTTTTGATGTTTCCCCCTAAATATATGCCATAAAAAGCCCAGGTTTACATGTAATATTTTTATTTCATTGTATCTCTAGTGCTCTTATGAAACACTTAGTACAAATCAGCAGGCTCTGTGTGTTTCTGAACAAATGATTTCACGTCCATTCCATATTCTTCGGACCCTCCTCCGTAAGCGTACACTTAGACGGAGTAAGCGATGTCAGTTCGTTGACTGGATAATCCTGTTCCATCCAGTGCCGGATATCAGGCGTGCAGTATTCTGACTTTCACTGCATTTTCCCCTTTAAACATCTATCCAATACCGTTCATGCATAAATTGACCCAACGGATTGCAGGACGGACGAGTCAGTCTTAAGGGTGGGCTCCATCTAATCGGAAAGAAGGTTGAATAGATGGGAACAGCAAAGGTCTTTGTCAGACCTTTGACATACTTCAGTCGGCCCATTGGGCGTTCGCAAGGGCGCAACTGGTGACGATGGTGGTTGCCGGGATGTTGGTACCATCTCCATTCCGGTTGTCGACGAGAGTGGTCGGAAGTCTAGATTCTCACTGAATGCTGCCTGTTCCCAGGACTTATCCAGATTGCACAGTGTTTTCTGCTCGCATTCGACGCTCAATTTAGTCAATTCGTTTTGGACATGACCAGTTCTGAGGGAGTCATTCCAGGCATAGACATCATCCTCACTGGGACTAAATACCCCACTCTCTGCTTGAGACGAGGACTCGCTGGTAACGTAGTTCCACTGACTGCATTCCAAGCCGTCAGTGCCAAGTAGAGTCGTCTGTTGTTTGGAATGGACATTGTGTTTTGGGACCTCTACACACGAACGTGTTTGGGCTGCAACTGGTGACGCTCGTGGTGGCCGGAGTGTTGGTACCATCTCCATTTCAGTTGCCGACGACAGTGTTCGGAAGTCCAGATGCTCATTGTATGCTGCCTGTTCCCACGAATCATCCGGAAGGCACTGTGTGTTCTGGTCATCTTCGAGGCTCCAGGTCGTCCTACCTTGCTGTTCGTTTTGGACGTGACCATTTCTAAAGGAATCATTCCAGGCGTACGCATCGTCCTCACTGGGACTAAATACCCCACTCTCTGCTTGAGACGAGGACTCGCTGG